ACGAATCCTTTAAATCTGGAGTACGTTGGACCATCGATTAATCGGATAAATGGTTTGTCCGGGTCGAAATGGTCTGCACGAGAAATTAGTGTACTTCGAAGCAGCTGATCGAACAGCCAATTTGGTTATGACCCAATCCGGGGCACGTGAATAGGTCTTTTAAATCTGGACTATGTCAGACTGTCAATTAATCGGACAGATGCATTATCTGGGTCGATAATCTATCAAAGTCTACATGAAAATTTGATTCTCCGAAACAGCTGATTTTTCGTGTGGATCAGCTGATCGAATGGTCTGATTAACTTAGCGAGTATCAGTTAAAGCTGGACCATGCACCAATTGTTAAATATATAGTTTGTTTAAGTAATATTCTAGGTCTCTCTAGGTCTAATTGTCTAGATAATATAGTAATAGTCTAGATCATAATTGACTGCTTCAAATCAGCTGATTTTGCTGACAAACTAACTGATCATACAGTGAACTTGGTTAGCTACCCAGTACCAATTAAACGAGTCCTTTGTAACAGGACAACATTAGGCTACTAATTCGTCAAATAAATGTTTCATCTAGGTCATAACAGTCTACATGAAAATTTATCTTATCAAATCAGCTGATCTTCCTGGCCAATCATTTGATCATACAGCCTTTATACCATTCCGGTATCAATTAAATAAATTCTTCGAACCAGGACCTTGTCAAGCCACCAATTAATCAATTAAATATTGCGTCCAGATCGTGACAGTCAGTATAAAAGTCTTCTGCTTCAGATCAGCTGATCTTCCTGACCAATTATCTGATCAGACAGCCCAATTACCTTGCGGTATCAATTAAATAAACCCTTCGAACCAGGACCTTGTCAAGCCACCAATTGACTAATTAAATATTGCCTTTAGGTCGCGATAGTCACAAGTCGCGATTACACAAAAGTCGTCTGCCAGAAATCAGTCGATCTTCCTGATCAGCTGACTAGCAGCTTGATTAGCAGCCGAGTAGCTTGATTAGCAGCCCGGTATGAAACGAACGGGTTCCTTGAACCAGAAATATATCGGCTACCGTTCGATCAGATTTCGACAGCCATTTCGCATGTCCAGGCAGCATTAGCTTCCATAAAAGTTTTCTCGGACGAGCTGTCGATCGTCTATCCAGCTTCCAGCGAATAATAAATCCGCGGCCGAGGGTCTCGGGCCGTAAGTACACTTTAATCGTCGCGCTTAATCGGAAAACCGAGGGGCTGCTCTCCGCGGAAGTTTCGAGGACGGGAGGGTTCCGAAACATAAGGCGCGCGGAGGAGCGGTAGTAGAAACACACAGAGAGAAAGAGAGAGAGAGAGAGAGAGAGAGAGAGAGAGAGGGAGGGAGACACAGCGAGAGAGAGGTACACGTCTACCTTTCTTAATCACCGTCTCTAATCGGCCGTAGCTCGGTTCATCAATCTCTTCGCGCGGCGTCAAAGAGACTGGAAGTTGTATAGTTAATGAGGCCGAAGCGCAACGCTCGCGGGCCTACGAGGAGCTCACCGCGCTCCGCAGAGCGGCGCTTTCAAAGCACTGTCTTGTTAATTATTCGACGTTTGCTTTAGTTTAGACCGCGTAATCCGCGCATTATTCAGCAGCCGCACGAACGCAGCGCGGTTATCAATAACATATGACGCGGATTCCACGGCCGATTTGAAATTATGCGTTTAACGAGGCTTAAATATTGCACGCGCAGGCACACGCGCCCGATCGCGAGCGCGCGCGCGCGCCGCAACGTCACACTCGGTGGTAATCTGCCCGGCGGATTTACGTCGGCCGCCGCCGCCGCGCCGCTGCCCGCGCTCCGCTCCGTAATGATCGATTGTATTATATCGTATACACCCCGGGGTTCCTCGGTGTGCTTTGCTGATTACATTACGTCGAACGAAGCCAGATCTCTCCGCGAGCATTGTTACGCCGTGTGTAATCGCTCTGTCATCGACAGCCGACCATAACGCGCCGCTGTGTACACCTACGATCCGCGGAAAAACGGGGGCGCCGGGGACGCGCGCGCGGCTGCCAAACGGGACACCGATCCGTCCAATCATGAAAAGATCGATCCGGATCCCGTTCCGGGACTGCAAACTATTCTTGGTTCTATAGGTTCGCCGAAGTTCGGCTGCAGACACCGGCGGAATAGTCCAACCAATTTCTGGGACGAGACGTTGCCGTCGGCACTCGATTAACCAGCCTCCGCCGGGTACAAAGATATTGTTAATTAAAAGATCAACCTCGGTAACCGAAGGTACACACTGAATAATTATCGCGTGCGCCAGAATCATCGAAGATCGGCGAGCAGAGCGCGCGCGGCTGCCTGATGGAACTGTTCGATCAACAAAGAGGCTCCAACGAGCGTGTACACTTGCCTCGACGAATCGCGTTAACATTCTGTCGCGCGACGCTCGCGTTTCCGCGACAACGAAAGGCTCGAGGAGCCAATTACCGTGCCCCGTTAGCAGCGTGCAGCAGTTCTCGCCGCTAAACGCAACTGTTGCGATTTAATCGCCAGACTGCGGATCTGCGCGCGAGATAAGAGATTTTTTATTCGATTGCAGGAAACAGAAAGACGCGTAGTTTTTTTTAGTTAATAATTTTAATCGGTTCAAGAGAATGCAGGAACATTCTTCGATTTTTACATTGACTTCATTGTTTGGTGTTTCGTATCGTCGATTTCAGCATAAATTTAACATTGACCTTCGTTTGTTCAGTGCTTTGTTCTAAGCTTTTTAGGAAAAATCGCGCGAGTTTAGTCTGAAAAAATTGTAATGATTTCCGTTCTATTTTAAAAACTTCCTTCTTTTACGTGATTAATTTCAACAGAGAAATGATTAATTGCACTTAAATAAAAAACAATTGGTACGTCTTATACGATCAATATGAACTCGAGTCTGTTGGAAAATAAATAAAAGACAAAGCAACTGCCTGCCTCATAGTGATCTAAAAAATGTAATAATTTTATTTAATTTTGCACATCCTCTTTATTTTTATAATCAGCCTTCTTGTAATTTTGTGCAAGCAAAGTTCTACCATTTTGGTAGAAAAAAACCGTCTGCAAAAATTTATGAAATCTCGAAAATAAACTATGTTAAGCATGTTAAGCATTATATTAAGTCCCGATACTGATCATTTCCTAAATGTTTTATAATTTCGTCAAAGAATTTTACGAGGGCAGAACGCGAATTTTCCGGCGCACTCGTGCGACACGTCCGACGCCGGATTTTATTAAGTTCCAGCGAAAATTCGCCGGCCGTTTCGTTCGACGTCGACGAGCGATAGAGCTGCAGCGATGAGTTAATAGCGGTCTGACGGGCCCAGGCACGACGAGACGCGTTATTTATGAAACGTTAACGACGACAGGACTTTCCGGCGCACTTTCCGGGATCGTATCCCCCGAATTATTAAAACAACCGGATCGCTCCGGTTCCAAATTGGTTCCTGCCACTCTGATTATTTCGGATCCCGTTTCGCTCAGATATTCTCTCAGTTGGCAACGTTCGGGAGACCTTTGATGGATATTAGGGGTCTTCAGAGAGTCCGGAATAAGATCAACATCGCGTAACATCGCTGGATTTCACGAAGCCCGGACGCTTCTTCTCTGATGAGAGATCGCCGGGAAATTATCAAGTGGACACCGCCAGAGAGAACTTTCCATGTTCCCGTGTAATTCTTGCTTGGATCACAGTAATTCCTCTCGGAAATGCTAACAATCCGGTTACTGCGAATTTCCCTGTGCTAGTTCTACGCCCATGTAATTTATTGCTACGTCGATTATAAGGCTCGACGGAGTCGATAAGCGTGCGATGCGAATCATATCAATTGGTCTCTGAATTGCCTTGGAATCGTGGCATATGGTCTGCGAATTGCCTTCGAATCGTGTCATGTGGCCTCCGAATTGCCTTCGAATCCTCGAAAAAAATTAGAAATAAAAAAGTCAGCTAACAGGGATTGGAATTAAAATCGAAAATTTGTCACAATTCATTTTTCGCAGCGTCGAGCTTGGTCGCTTCAGACCGCGATAAAGAAGTAAGATAAAATCGTAGATCGAAAATTTTGATGTCGTTTGAAAGAGAAAACTCTAATCTTGAAGATCATAGTAATCGGAATCGTGGGAAAAATTTTAGAGACCCTGGAGAGATGTTCGAATGCAGAGTTTCCGAGGAGAAGAAACTGAAAGAGAAAAATTCACTTTCGCTAATGAAAAAATATTTTTCATTGGAAATGATTTAGGGCGATTATAGTAGAAGCTTTTTCAAATTGATCTAGACGGTATAGATTATTGTACAATTATTTCTTGTCGACTGCCCCGAGTTTGTATGCAAGCAAACCGCGAGACCCGAAAAATCGTGACTTAGTATTCTCTTATCTGCCGGTTTCAATGCCGACCTCCGAACATTTCCAAGAAAAATTACTGTATTATTATGATTACTGAAAGAGAATGCAATGTTTCAGTTAAATCGGATGGATGGCTCCACAAAAACTATTATAGTACATTGCCGAATGCAAACTTATCGATATTATTGGTAAATTGACGCTGGTTTCGTGTGAAACCAACAAATTTTATAAATATCGATGCGATTCTTTTATTTAGAACAGTTTATTTCGCGATTCTAAAGATAACTGCAAAGTTTTAAATAAATTGAATGTTTTGCACAAAACGTTGGGTTTCCGTTTGTAAACGATGAATTTTGTGAATATCGATGAAATTCTTGCACAAAACAGCTTAATTCGCGTGCTCTTGAATATAAAATAAATCTGAAAATAAATCTGAAAATAAATCTGCTGATAGGTTGTATACCAATCATTGTATTTCACTGCCGAAAGTGGATACATTTGGTATAAAACATCAGGATCTCGTGTAACATCGACGATCAATGATTATGTTGTAGTCGTCCTAAAATTCTCTACCACGTTTTCAGTATATTTTATTCGAATTGAATTTTTCCGATGTAGTCGAACTAAGCAGACCGGTATAAATTTTTTGTTTCAGGAGGAGCCAATGATCACAATCCTCCCTCGAGTGACAAGGACGTGCATCCAGATGATTCATTAAAGATTTGGCAAAACGGTGAGCCTCTCACATCCTCGTATAAATCACCGTGCGAAACCGCAAAAAAATATACCGCATGTACGAAAAATTCTGTGGTCGAAGAAAAATTATTTTCGTTCGGATAATTTATTTATTATTTATTATATTATTGTTATAACGTTATACGTATAATTGTTATCATATAGTTTGTATTATAATAATAATTATTATTATATATTATATATTTTCATTAATATATAATCTATATATTATTATTATATATTATATATTTTTAATACTATATAATCTATATTATTATCATATATTATATATTTTTAATATTATATAATATATATATATTATTATTATTATTATTATTATATATTACGTATTATTATTATTCGGTCGCACGGTTGGAATAGTAAATCGCAGGGTTCGAATGATAAAATCGTAGGGTCGTAATAATAAGTGGATCAATCCTTCCACTCGGCGAGATGTTTTCGCGGAGCTGTCCGCGGAGGAAAAATCCCGGAATGACCGCGGCAAGATATGAATTTTCATCGGGAAGTCGGACGATAAATTTGCCGCACGCGAGACGGCCCCGGCCATTATGTAGATAATCGGGCGACAGAATTTACGTGCCGTGATGCCGACTATGTAGACACAGCAGCGAAAACGAAACCGCGGCGCGGAATAATATTCCGCGGCACCGGGCGAGCATCGCCCGTTTTTAAACTTGTAATGTCTCCGGCACCGAGAGACTCTCTCTCGGTCCGTGGCTCTGTGCGCGCGTTCGTGGACCCGCGGCACACGTATGCACACTTGTCCGCACACGCGGAACACAAGGCCGACACACGCATACAGAGGAAGGCGCGCGCGCACATACACACACACACACGCGCGCGCGCGCATACAGAGGAAGCCTAAAGGAAATGTCTGGCAGACACCGGCGAACGTGATATCCGAAGTCACTCACGAATTCATAGGATCCCTTTCTTCTTTGTTTTCCCCCACGCGCGGCCCGTGTAAGACGCACACGTGCACGCGTACCGATTCGGTAATGTTCCCGAGGATTTCCCGGCAATCTCGGCCCGCTTTCCTCCAAATCTCCCGGCAATGAGCCGCGTGATGCAGCTCCTCTTTTTCTTATCCTTCGTCTTTCGCGGTGACGTTCGCGAGTTGAATTTTGGATGGACGAACTCTCGGAGCCGGTAGGACGTTCCCGGATCGTCTCTGGATGCGGTCCGCGCTCCGCCCCGGCACAATATCCTTTCCAATATGAACCCCGGTGATCCAACAAGCATCCGAATCAACGTTCCTGGGAATAGCATAGCGGAGCCGATTACCGGGCGGTAGCCAATTACTGCGCCCTTTGTCTAGTTACATGCGTAATTAATTTTGTATTTGTCGCACGAGGTGTGTCAAATTTTTGTATTCGAATTCAATCGATCTATTGCTAGTGAAAATTAAGCATATTGAAGACGGGAGTTTTTGAAATATAGCAATAATTATTACAATTCTTTGAGACTGAATTCGCGGAATTTTCTCTGAATCTTGGGAAAACAAAATCGAAAAATCGATATTTACGATGAAATTAATCGTACGAAATATCGAACAACGAGGACAGAAAAATTTTGGGGGACGTTCTTGCGTTCTCCGGGATCGATTAAAATTATTAAATAAAAAATACACTTTTATTTAGTTCTTCTACTACTCGCAATCGAATCAGAAATCTCTTATTTTGCACGAAGATCCGCAGTCTAGTGATTTAAATCGCTGCAGTCGCATTCGCTCGTGAAAGCTGTCAACGTGGCACAGTAATTGGCCCCTCTCTCTTAAACGATGCTCGCGGCGCCGAAACCAAAGGCAACGATACAAACCAAGAAGGAAAATTACGCAAATGCGCGGCGCGGAGAGATCGTTCGGAGGAGCGGCGAAATTAATGGCGACCATTGTTTTCTTGGCACGGAATTTACAACCGCGGCCTGGCTCCCCCCGCGGGCGGAACGTCCTCGGTCCCGATATTTTACCGGGGTTCCGCCCCTCAATCAGAACAAAGGGATTCCGTTTGTCCGAAAGTTGCGTACGTACGAGGTAATCCGCATAAATTGCTGGTAACAGTGGCGTTCCCGTCCGGAAACACGGGAGAGGAGTCGGCACGGAAACGAAGAAATTGGGAAGAAGAGGAAGAGAGTCTCTCCTCGGTCCCAGAGCACGTATACCGGCTGGATTTGGGTCAACAATGTGGAGCCTCGTAGATATAGCCACGGCGAATAGACTGCCGTAACCGATTGAAAGTATTCTACTCGATTTGGCCGCGATTGCGCGGAATCTCCCGAGTGTGGTAATGCATCCACCTTCTTTACCGCCGGTTACGTGTAACAGGATAATCGTCATGGCGACCCAGATCCCGGTTTGCACGCCGTGCACCGTGCACCCTGCACTTACGGAACGCGAACCCGCCCCCGCGACCTTCGGCAAACACGCGGCCCCGCCGCTTCGTCGCAACGCACGGTGTTTGAACATGCCCGATTTAGTTGGTCGAAACGGAACTTAAACAATTTCACTCCGGGGCAAACAATTTTTATTTGCCCACGGTGGAACTTATTATACGGATAATATACTCGGAATATATATATAGTGGAGCGTGTTTATACGCGCGAGGAACAATGTCCACGTTTTTCCACTATTTGTCAATTTCACTTGTTTGTCTGTTATTTTGTCGAGGAAGCTGCGCGCAGTTGTTCCCTCGATGAATACTTTCAAACGTATTTGAACAGGTATTGAACGCATTTCGTTATTTTAGAAACATGATTCTGATTAAAAGACAACGTCCCAGTTGAATAATGAAATTGTGTGTTAATCAAATTTCGGCGAAAGACAGTTTTCAGTCGAAACGCGTGACTGCATATTTTTCAGTCAGAACGTTCAATAATATTTGTTTCAGTCGAGAACGTTTAACAATATTTGTTTGAGTCGAGAACGAGCAACGATATTTTTAAAACACCGAAACACGATGGCAGTAAATTCTCTCTAATTGTCCTTCTGAAGTCTCTCTAATTTTCCTTCAGCTTGTAAACAGAAATTGACAATTTGGGAAGAGGAACAATTATAAAAACGAGGTGCAAGGCTCGAATAATCGTATAATAATAATAATAATCGAATGTCCTCTTCCCAAACTGTCCATTTTTGTTTACAAGCTGAAGGTAAATTAGGGAGAATTTACCGTATATTGCACACTGAGATGAAATTCTCGCCACAACGTAGGGAGTTAAGTCTAAAAAAATAGGGAAAGTCGAAGAACGAGGACCACTATGCTATATACTCAGGGCCAAACCCTAACCCTGACCTAGCCTAATCTGACCCGACCTAACCCAGTGTAAACAGACTTGCGTTCCACAAACAGGGCCTTGATTGATTGCTCGGGAACAGACTTGGGAATGATTAACACGTTATTTGACAACTCGAACATGAGTCGCCTGGGGAGATTAGGTTCAAGGACGTCTTCAGCCTATCCCAAACTGATCTAACCAGGACCTGACTTGGAATGAAGATGTATTTAATTATGACAAAAATGATTGATATCAGCTATCAAGGAAACAAATTTCTCTAGCAGATATCACGCGTGCCCCCCCCTCTCTCTATCACTCTCTCTCTCTCTATCACTCTCTCTCTCTCTCTCTCTCTCTGTCTAGCAACATCGAAGATAATATAAAAGACAACATCGAAGACATCACCTCACATTTTAAATAGATCTTAAATATTAGGTCATAAATAATTTTATAATAATTCTCCCTAGTCGCGCGCGCGCGACTCTCAGCTTGTGCATAAAAATTCTTCACTATTAAAATTTATTATTCGAGCCTTGCGGCTCGTTTTTATAGTTACCGATTGTCAAAAACTATAAAAAACGAGCCGCAAGGCTCGATTAATTTTCTTCCCTAATTATTTTCCCAAATTAATTATTATTATCGAATTAACTATTATTGTAATATTCCCACTACCGCCATTTTCATAGTAATTCACACTTATACCATGAGAACTATTCTCGCAACAATTAAGCATCTAAAAACGTAGACGCATTATATTTCCTGCTGGACGCACTAATACTGATTCGCGAATGAGAAAGTGCGGTAACAGTTTCTGGGAAGATTGCGAAAACGCACATTTCGGCAGAATACACCCAATTAACTTCGAGCATGTTCAAACATCCAAATAGTGGTGTTAGCTAACTTTGCGACCGTACACAGCTGCGCGGATTTCGACACGTGCAAGCACGGGTCGCGGCCTGCCTTTGAAGTAGTCGTAAAAGCTCCAACTACTCTGCTCCCAGTTTGGAACGTTTTAGTGGGCGAATTGTAAAGCGAAGACTGTTACGTGTACTTAATCTGTGCTCGGACAGTAAAACGTATCCGGGCTGCGGTCGCCGCGTGTCTGAAAGTATTGTAACCCGAACGTCGATGAGACGGTCTTGAAATAGCTTCGGACGTCACGCCGCCGTCACCCTTTGTTCTTTTTCTCGCTTTTCAATTCGCTCCGGAGTTTATCCCCCGGACGATGGACCATTTTCACGGCTGTACTGTCGACGATGTTCGCAACAATTCCGAGCTTTATTCAGCAATTTTTCGAAACACATTATCGAAGATATTTCTCGCAGACCTACTCGGCTTTCTGTTGTTCCGAATGCAACAGCGATTTATTTTTACTTAATCGCCGATTATTGAGACGGCCACCATCTTGCGAGTGGGATGATGAATTTTTGATTAAATTAAAGCTCGAAGCCTCTACTTTAAGACAGTCTTTCTGGATTTTAAGTTCGATGCACCCCCGTCGCTGTTACTCTTTAAATACGAAACTATGTTCGTCGCGTTGAAAATAACCAAGTTCGACGAAATTTACGGACTGTGTAAAATTTTTCTCGAAGATTCCGTTTGCAGTAGAATGAAGCTCGATCCTTCCTCTTTAATTTGAAAAAAGAGAATCCCGGCTGCGATTTTTCTTCGCGAAGTTACAGCGCTTCAAAGTAACCCTTGCATTTC